CATGAGATTTTGTCATGGCCGAATTTGTAGCATTTCAGACATTGTGTGATGGGGTGAAAGTTTGGAGTGAAGAGGGTGTTTGGAGGAATGCGGATGGTCTTGGCAGGGATTCCTTGAATGAAGAGTGTAGAGGCGTCAGAAGGAGTTGAACAGCGTATTTTGAGGATGGTAGAGTTTTCAGGTCTGTAAATATCGTCAACAGAGACTTTGTTCTTAGTACTAATGTCTTTGATTAAGTCTTCTTTGTCTGTGTCATAGGCAGTCAGGAGAGAATAGTCTACATGCTTTGCGATCACTGTGCATTTGGCGCAGTGCTCAGGAGTCCAAATAATGGTGAAGCCTGCATTAAGAAGTTTTTGTCTGGTCTCGGTTGAGGTGTACGATTCGTAAGAATGTCTGTCAAGAAGTAGTTTGAAGCCTGAGTTGGTTTTAAAGACTTTCAGTTGAGGAGCGCCAATGATCTGGTACAATAAATTTCCAGGACAGATAGTGGCATGATCAGATTTAGAGTATTTGAGGTTAAGCGAGAAAGAATTGGGTTTGGAAGAGGTAGAGGCAGGGTAGGCCTTAGAGGCAGGAGTAGACAGAGTAGAGGCAGGTGTTGGCAGTAAAGGAGGAGTGGTAAGGGGGAAGGAAGTGGAAGGCATTGAAGGCATCGTAAATTAGATGTGGTGGCCAAATCTGTGAGAATAATTGGTTAGGCAAGCACGTGTGAAGTAGACACACGCACTTGCATGGCTATAACTTTAAAGTTTCTTGTGGAGTCCGTCTCTGGAGGCACAGGACACTGAGGAGGTGAGCTGTAGCTTGATAGAGAACTGTATGCTCTGAACGGTGAGGAGAGGCAACACTGGCTGTATGGCATGCAGATCACACGTACTGGCTGAGGCGTGGAGACTTCAGGCAACGGCGAGGAGAGGCAACACTGGCTGAATAGCGTGGGTGTGCGGCTTACTCTCAGTGGCCCTTATATACCCAACAACAACACAACATCACACCTCTCGTGACGTACATAATGACTTATTTTATTCATTCTAGAGTATATTCCATTATTCTATGTTATTAATATTGTTTATTATGTCATATTAGTTGAATTGTGATAGATAAATAAGCCGTAGAGTTGATATTACTGTCATATTCTCCAACAATAAACTTGCCATCCCTCCCTCACACAAACAAGTCTCCAATAAGAACATAAGAAAGGAGGAACACTGCAGTAGGCCTGTTGGCCTATACTAGGCACGTCCTTTACAATCCTTCCCATTAAGAACATAATGGAAGTGTAATAAAGTTGGTAGAATTACCGACAATATGTAAAGTAAAAGGACACAAGTGCAACTAATGTGGCATTTTATTGTGGCAACGTTTTGCTCTCCAGGAGCTTTATCAAGCTTGATAAAGCTCCTGGAGAGCGAAACGTTGCCACAATAAAATGTCACATTAGTTGCACTTGTGTCCTTTTACTTTGCAACATAATGGAAGAACACTGCAGGTCTACTGGCCCATACAAGGCAGGTCCTTATCAAAATGACCTCTACACAAAGCTACCCAAGAATTTACTCCCGTACCCAATGACACAAATCAAACTCAGCTCCTCCCACTCATATATTTGTCCAATCTCTTCTTAAAGCTACCCAAGGTCCTAGCCTCTATCACCCTACTGGTAAGTGTGATGTTAAATAAGAACATAAGAACTTAAGAAAGTAGGAAGACTGCAACAGGCCTGCTGGCCCATACTAGGCAGGTCCTTCACAAATCCAACCCACTAACAGAACAAATGCTACCCAAGCAATAAGCTCAGGTGCAAGTCCGACTCAAATCCAACCCCTCTCACTCATGTACGTATTTATCCAGCCTAAATTTGAAACTACCCAAGCCATAGCTTTTAGAACATAAGAAAGGAGGAACACTGCAATAGGCCTGTTGGCCCATGCTAGGCTGGTCCTTCACAAATCCAACCCACTAACAGCATAACTGCTATACTCAAGCAATAAGCTTTGATAAACCTATTTACTCATGTGCAAGACCGATTCAAACCCAACCCCTCTCACTAATGTATTTATCCAACCTAAATTTGAAACTACCCAATGTTTTAGCTTCGATCACCCTACTAGGCTGACCGTTCCACTCATCAACTACCCCTATTCCCAATGTTCATTTATACATTTTATAAGTGCTTTACATTTATTTGGCATTCTTTTCTGCATGTAAATCTATATTTAAGCTAGGTAAGTGACACCTGAAGTGACCTAGAGTCCTTATGGAGGCAGATTCCCCTTCCAAACAATAACCTCTCTTCCCTCTCTTCTCCTCCCTGTCTTCCATTCATCAACAACAGCCTTCAATAAAGGTAACTGTCATGTTGAATGTTCATTCTTTTGTGCATGTAAATCTATCTTTAAGGTAAAAAAAATTGTTGTTGATACTTCTGGGTGTCAGGAACGGATTAATTGTACAGTGGTCCCCCGCTTTTCGTAGTTCCCGGCAATCGTAAAATTTGCCAATCATAGAGGTATTTTCGTATAAACATGGACTCGCTTTTCATAGGTTGACTCGCGAGTCATAGTTTGTCCGGGACGCGTACCCACGGCGTGAGCCAGGGCGGCAGCCAGTCTGGCATTGTTTACCAGTGAGCGAAGGTCCCCTCACGTGCTCCAGCGAAATATTTCATAATATTCCATTTATTTTAGTGCTTGCAAGTACTAAATAAGCTACCATGGCTCCAAAGAAAGCTCCTAGTGCCAAGCCTGTGGTAAAGAAGGTGAGAAATACGATTGAATTTAAGAAAACCATCATTGAACAATATGAAAGTGGTACAAGTGTGGCCGAACTGTCCAGGATGTATAAGAAACCCTACACAACCTTATGTTCCACAGTGGCCAAGAAAAATGAAATAAAGGATGCTGTTGTTGCAAAGGAGTAACTATGCTGACAAAAATGAGATCACCAGTACTGGAAGAGGTTGAGAAGTTATTATTGGTGTGGATGAATGAGAAACAATTAGCAGGAGATACTCTTATGACTTCGTTTATTTGTGAAAAGGCTAGGCAGTTGCATGAAGATTTGGTAAAGAAACTGCCTGCAAATAGTGGTGAAGTGAGTGAATTTAAGGCCAGCAAAGGCTGGTTTGAGAGATTTAAGAACCATACTGGCATACACAGTGTGGTAAGGCATGGTGAGGCTGCCAGTTCGGACCACAAGGTGGCTGAAAAATATGTGCATGAATTCCAGGAGTACATAGAGGCTGAAGGACTGAAACCTGAACAAGTGTTCAATTGTGACGAAACAGGCCTCTTTTGGAAGAAAATGCCAAAGAGGACCTTCATTACACAAGAGGAAAAGGCAATGCCAGGACACAAGCCTATGAAGGACAGGCTGATGCTAATGTTCTGTGCTAATGCTAGTGGGGATTTCAAAGTGAAGCCATTACTAGTGTACCATTCTGAAAATCCCAGAGTGTTCAGGAAAAACAATGTTATGAAGAGTAAATTGTGTGTTTTGGAAATCTAATAGTAAGGCATGGGCTACGAGGGAAATTTTCGTCGAGTGGTTCAATGAAGTGTTTGGCCCTAGTGTGAAGGAGTATCTCCTGGAAAAGAAATTGGATCTCAAGTGCCTGCTAGTAATGGATAATGCACCTGCTCATCCTCCAAACTTGGATGACCTAATTTTCGAGGAGTTTGGGTTCATCACAGTAAAGTTCTTGCCCCCGAATACCACTCCTCTCCTCCAACCCATGGACCAGCAGGTTACTGCAAACTTTAAAAAACTCTACTCAAAAGCAATGTTTCACAGGTGCTTGACTGTGACCACAGACACTCACTTGACCCTAAGGGAATTTTGGAGAGAACACTTCAGCATCCTCCACTGCATAACCCTTATAGGTATGGCTTGGGAGGGAGTGACTACCAGGACTTTGAACTCTGCCTGGAGAAAATTGTGGCCAGATTGTGTCGACAAGAGGGATTTTGAAGAATTTGGGACTGACCCTAATGAGCCTATGTCTGTTGTAAAATCAATTGAGGCACTGGGGAGTTCCATGGGGTTGGATGTGAGTTTGGAGGATGTGGAAGAATTGGTGGAAGACCACAATGAAGAGCTCACCACTGAGGAGCTGCAAGAAGAATCTCCAATAAAGGTAAGTGTTATGCTGTTAATGTTTCATTCATCATTTCCCATTGTATTGTTTATGTACTACATCTACATTTCATGTAAAAATTTTTTTGTTTTAATACTTCTGGGTGTCAGGAACGGATTAATTGTATTTACATTATTTCTTATGGGGAAAATTGATTCGTAAATCATAAATTTCGTTTATAGTAATGGCTCCAGGAACGGATTAATTACGAACAATGAGGGACCACTGTATTTACATTATTTCTTATGGGAAAATTGATTCGAAAATCGTAGATTTCGATAATAGTAGCATCTCCAGGAAATGATTAATTGCGAAAAACGAGGGACCACTGTAACCGGTTTCCCTGAATCCCTTCACTTAATATTGCCCTGCTCACACTCCAACAGCTCGTCAGGTCGCAAAAACTATTTGTCTCCATTCACTCCTATCTAACACACTCACGCACATACATATATTAGTTCAAAGTATTTTTTTTTAACACGCTGGCTGTCTCCCACCATGATAGAGTGAAACAAAAGAAACTTTCACCATCATTCACACTATCACTGTCTTGCCAGAGGTGCACAGATATGACAATTTAGATGTCACTCTAAATAGCAAATATCCCAAATCCCTCCTTTAGAGAGCAGGCACTGTAATTCCCACCACCAGAGAATTACAGTCGAATTAACCGGAAAGTCAGGTCTACCCATGTAGACTTGAGCAGCTGATGCAACTGTCTGACCACCATACCACAGAGTTAGCATTATCTCAATAAAACTTAGAATCTGAACACAATAATTTCAATACAAAGAAGCATCATCTCAAGTGATATAATTCACAATATAGATGGTTCATTCCCAGAATTAAAACTTTTACTAACCCTGAAAGTACTGGAATCTTTGCCATCATGCCCATAATCCATAATAAGAGCAATGCCTCCATCTTCTTCTATCCTGCTTGCCAGCTCTTCACAAAGTACTGCAGCATCTGGACTCACCTCAATTTCATCACGTGTTTCTTCAGGCTACAATATACAAAAAATCCATCAACTTTCATTCAAAAATATTTAAACAATATTCTATGTGGCACTACTAATGTATTAGCATAGAAAAGTTAGATCATATGAAACATTACGCTCTATAATTTTTTTCTTGTTAACCCTTAAATGGTCCAAACGTATATACATGTTCTCTCGCATAGGACCCCAAACGTATATATACGCTTCATTTGTTATTCATTCAACATTGGCACGATAGGCCTGAGTCGCCTATACATGGAGAGAATGAGTGTGATCACTCAGTGTGTGCCATATGAAAAAAATTGGGGATGCCAGGGTACCACATGTTCTTTTTTCCTACAAAAAAAAAAAAAAAATTTTTCTCAAAGTATTCGGGGCACAGGTGAACGTATATACACATTTGGACCGTTTAACCCTTTGAGGGTTTTGGTCGTACTAGTACGTCTTACGCGTAGGGGTTTTTGACGTACTAGTACTCATAAATTCTAGCGGCCTCAAATCTAGTGGGAGAAAGCTGGTAGGCCTTCATATGAAAGAATGGGTCTATGTGGTCAGTGTGCACAGTCTAAAAAAAATCCTGCAGCACACAGTGCATAATGAGAAAAAAAAAACTTTGACCATTTTTTTTTAATAAATCAGCGACTTTGCAGTGTATTTTCGTATGGTATTTATTGTTGTATTCTAGTTTTCTTGGTCTCATTTTATAGAATGGAAGACATATTACAGAAATTGAGATGATTTTGACTGGTTTTACAATGAAAGGTGCCTTGAAATTGAGCTCAAAGTAGCAGAAATGTTCGATTTTTACCAAACTTCAAAAGTAAACAAATCGTGCCAAGCGTGCAATACACGTCAACTGGTGAGTCTGATATTCTTTCACAAGTGCACCAATAATATTTATATCATTTTTTACACTAATGCAGTAGTCTGCATAACAGTAAATCTTATATTTTTTGTGAGAATAAAAATTCAAAGTGGAAAGCAAAAGAATATAAGAGGGGCCTTGAGACGTGACTAATGACTAGAGGAAATGTCATTTTAGTGCCAGGAATGTCTTTCTTGTTTATTCTGGACCCTATTCGAAATTGGCATCTTTTGAAATTTGTGTGAAATTGGCAAAATTGCTAAATTCTGACCACTGTACTGGATAGTTGAATTTATAAATGGGTGATTTCTTGCACTCATTCGATAGAAAAAATGGAGTTCTAGCGGAATATTCATGTTTTTTGTCGACTAGTACAGTGAAATTGGCCGAAAATGGGGCTCAAAGTGGGCAAAATCGCCGATGAGTAAACATCGCCGAGACCGCTAACTTTGCGAGAGCATAATTCCGTAAGTTTTCTATCAAATTTCAAACTTTTGGTGTCTTTATGATCGGGAAAAGATTCTCTATCTTTTCATAAGAGAAAATAATTTTTTTTTTTTTAAATTTGGCCGACCCTGAGAACGAGTTTCGGAGAGGGCCTGTCGACCCTCAAAGGGTTAAGGGTTAATGCACCAGCCATCTCCCACCAAGACAGGGTGACCTAAACAGGAATTTTTTTTTTTACCATTTAGTAATTTATACAGGAGAAGGGGTTATTAGCTCCTTGCCTCTTACAATACGCACGGCTTACAGAGGAAAAATTCTTCTCCATTTCCCCATACAGAACCTTCCAAAACATAAAATAATAATTTTTTACCTGAATGAAAACTTTTGTAGCAGGTGTTTCAGCTCTGGATAGAACATAACGCAGGTGATGAGGTCCATCTCCTTCATCTATGTCAATTAGAACTTCTCTCCATCCATCTTCTGTTTTACAAATTTTGTGAATAGGTAGCACATCAAAGAACTCATTAGCAAGGAACACAGAGAAACTTCTTGGAACACTGCCCAGGTGTCTGTACCAAAATACTGGTGAGCCACCAGTTGTGGTACTTTTCTTAAAATACAACTCCTTTTCATAGTCATCTGTTAAAAAAACATTATGGAATTATGAATTTTAAAACTAACAATGGTTAAATATAATGCTGGCTAACTTATGAAATATACATAATTATTGCCAGCACAGTATTAATGGTACACGTTTTACAGACCAAGTAATGCAGGTTTCCAGTGCTTTCCATTGGTTCACCTTAGGTGAACCTATACTTAAGGTATTATTATAAGTGTGATATACTGTACATTCATTGTTTGCAGTCAATACAGCTCACAAAATAGTCTGAAGATTTTTTTTTGTAACACACTGGCCATCTCCCAATAAAGAGGAAAACACTTTCACTATCATTCATTCATTCACTGTTTTGCTAGAATCATGATGACGTGTAACCAGGCGTCCTTGTATTTTTATAGATCCCACCAAAGCACAATTTCTGTCTAGGTAAGAAACCCTTGTGCCATAAGAGATGGGGGGGATGGCTGCTAGCCTCTACCTCACTCTCACTTGGATGCCCGCAGTTGGACTGACAACATCTTCCTCTTCATCAGACCTGGCTCTGAATTTTCCCTATGCTATGCCCGGTGTACCCACTTGTCAATAAACCACTATCTAATCTGTTGTGACTTTTTACAGTACCCTGCACAGCTCCTACCCATTAAAATTACCATGCCTGCAACAACAGACAAGGTGGACTGTCCATACCAGTGTTACTGCACACCCCATTACAGACACCACAACTCAGATGACTCTCTAAACCACAACATTCCTACCCCTACTACAGATTCTTATGTGCAGAATTAAGTGTTGGCCTAAATGAAATTAGTACAGCTTCCAGGGGTGCTTGGAACATATCTACTGTATAAAGCAAGGGACACCTTTCCATGGATTGAATCTGGAATGTTAATGTTATATCCATTTATATCTGAAAGACAGCTTGATAATGAATGATGGAGAATGTTTCCTTCTTTGGGTCACCTTGTCTTGGTAGTAAATGAGAAATGTGTAGATAAAAAATAATAAAAGGTATATTGAATTCTTTCAACAACGAATTAACCCCTTAACCCTTTGAGGGTCGACAGCCCCTCTCCCAGACTTGTTCTCAGGGTGGAAAAATATTCGAAAAAAAAAAAAAATTCTTATGAAAAATAACAAAAAAGGCACAATACCGTGACAGGAACGATACACAAATAACCCGCACATAAAAGAGAGAAGCTTACGATGACGTTTCGATCCGACTTGGACCATTGACAAAGTCACACTAACCAGAGGTGGAGTAGGACGGCTATATATAGGCAGGAAGAGGTGATGGTAGTAGTAGTAGTACAAGAATGGTATATAATACCGACAAGATGAAATTAAGACACATGCGCAACACCCAACTCGAACAGTCGCCGTCTAGTTGAATCCTCTCTAATACACAACTTTCCTTGTATGAATCTTAGTCCTGGCTTCGTCTCTGTAGATGCCTTCCTCTCCCACTACATTGTAAAATGCTCCAAACTTCAGAACACCCGTGACTTAACCTAACTCCTTATTTTTTCTTTTTCTTTTTCTTCTTCTCCCTCTTCCCCTTTCCTCTTTCCCTTTTCTCCTCTGGGTTGTCTTTCTCTCTTCTGTCTCGTGTTTCTGTTCCTTCTTCATTTATTTCCCACTTCCCCTTTCATGCACCTCTGTGCGCTTGCTCTCCCTCAGTGGGCACCTAGCTCTCTTGCAGTGCTCCCCTTCCTTTGTATTTGACTGATCGTCCTCCTTATTTCCCACTTCTACCACTACCACTACTACTACCTCTACTACTACTACTACTACTACTACTACTACTACTACTACAACTACTGATGAAATTAAGACACATGTGCGGCGTCTGGTTGTCTTTGTTGTGGATGTTTCGCCATCCAGTGGCTGGCTGGATGGCAAAACGTCTACGATAGGGATGCCCGGGTGTTGCGCATGTGTCTTAATTTCATCTTGTCGGTATTATATACCATTCTTGTACTACTACTACTACCATCACCTCTTCCTGCCTATATATAGCCGTCCTACTCCACCTCTGGTTAGTGTGACTTTGTCAATGGTCCAAGTCGGATCGAAACGTCATCGTAAGCTTCTCTCTTTTATGTGCGGGTTATTTGTGTATTCTTATGAAAAGATACTTCTTTTTTTTTTCTAAATTTTAGAGGCTAAAAAATTTTTTTTGCCATCAATGGAGGTGTGAGGTTGACAGAAATTGAACCGCATATGGTAACATCGCTGACTGCCGGTCACCTGGTAATCATTTTTTTTTTTTTTTTTTTACTTTTTTTCTATTATTTTTTAATATTTTTTCTTTTCAAGTAACTTTTATGGTCTGTGAGACCAACATGAGCACTATTTTGTATACTCTTTCTATACTACACAATAACTGCGCAAACACTGTTGTCATTATATTGTTTACAAAACATGTTTACACAAATGAATAATATAAAATGTTGTTTATTACTATTTTTCTAAATTCTATATACACATATACAGTCACAGGACATGTTTCTAGAAGTTCTGCAGCCTGTGGTAATCTTTGAAACACGGTGTCATGCACAATGGTGTTTTACACTCCTCACGCATAAAACGTGGGTCTCTGCGTTTTTGTGGGCGTATTCTTGTGTGTGCACAGACAAAACACCTCTTCTGAGCCTTTTTCTTCAAAGCAGTAGCAGGTAGTTGTATTAGGAAGTGATCACCAGGCCTCAGACGAGAGGGTAGTTGATGATCAGTTCACAGGCGTTGTTCTATTGCAGGTGTTGTTACTTGGTACTTGAATAATATTTGTCTGATGACAGACAAACAAAATTGACCATATGGTGGTTTGTTTCTGGTCTTCAACTTGTACACATTATAAGCATTCAGCATGGAAATGTCCCCAAGATGAAAAAAGAGTTTTATGTACCATTTATAACTCTTGCAAACACAATCAGCAAACCCAATTTTCATATCACATAGCACATATTGAGGGTGTAGTCCATCACAGCTGCAGGTTTTAGAATGGGTTCATTGGTCTCTCTATGCTGCCCGCCAGTGTCTGTCATTTCGTTTCGGTGAACTGATGACAACAGTGTGATATCTCGTTTGTCATGCCACCGAAATGCCACGATGTCATTGGCAGCAAATGCATGCACCTCACCTCCATGAGTGCCTGCCTTGAACCTGGGCATATGTTTATGATTCTCACGCACTGTACTACACACATCTGTCATATTCACTTGCAAAAAATCACTGAGTGAGGGGCTTGTGTACCATTTTATCAGTATATAATAAATGCTCCTTACCAAGATATGGTCTCATCATTGTTCTAATCACATCACCAGAGACACCCAATAACTTCCTGGTATAAGAACATAAGAACGAAGGAACACTGCAGAAGGCCTACTGGCCCATGCGAGGCAGGTCCAAGTCTCCAAACCGGGGCTTAGCCAATGCACCAAACCTAGTCAGGTCGGGGTACATTGACTTAAGGAGGAAAAAACGGCAACCGACCTGTTAGCACAAGCTATCAGGTCTAACTCACACCCACCCACATCTACTCATTATTTATCCAACCTATTTTTAAAGCTACACAACGTTCGGGCCCTTTCTATAACGGTACTTGGGGTTTGTTCCACTCATCCCAACTCTATTACCAAACCAGTACTTTCCTATTCCTTCCTGAATCTGAATTTTTCCAACTTAAATCCATTGCTGCGAGTCCTGTCTAGGCTAGATATTTTCAGCACACATATTTACATCCCCTTTATTTATTCCTGTCTTCCACTTATAACCTCAATCATATCCCCCCTAATTCTACGTCTTTCTAGAGAGTGCAGTTTCAGGGCCCTTAGTCTATCCTCATAGGGAAGGTTTTTGATACATGGGATCATCTTTGTCATCCTCCTTTTGTACATTTTCCAGAAAAATTTATATCCATTCTGTAATAGGGTTGCCCAAAAAACTGTGCAGCATAATCTAAATGAGGCCTAACCAAGGATGTATAGAGTTGAAGAACAACCTGAGGACTCCTATTATTTATGCTTCTTGATATGAAGCCAAGGATTCTATTAGTTTTTTGCGAACACTTATGCACTGTTGTCTTGGTTTCAGATTTATGCTAACCAAAAATCCTAAATCTTTTTCGCAATCCGTAATATTAAGATCTACATTATTTAGTTATATGTGGCATGGTTATTGTCCTGTCCAACATTAGAACTTTGCATTGTCTTTTATTTAAATGCATCTGCCACTTCTCCGACCACTGCATCAGTCTATTCAAATCTTCCTGGAGTGCTCGAATGTCCCCGTCAGAATGAATTCGACGGCCTATTTTGGTTTTCATCGGCAAACTTGCCGATGTCGCTCTTTATGCCCTCATCTATGTCGTTCATGTAGATTGTGAACAGCAGGGGCCCAACACTGACCCCTGTGGAACACCGCTCGTGACGCTTCCCCACTCTGATTTCTCCCCATTTATGCAAACTCTCTGCTGCCTATTTGTCAACCATGCCTCTATCCAGGAAAAAATTTCTCCTCCTATTCCATGTGCTTTAATTTTCCTCAATAGTCTCTGATGTGGGACCCTGTCAAAAGCCTTACTGAAGTCCATATACACAATATCATATTCATTACCATGATCTACCTCCTCAAATACCTTAGTGAAAAAAGTTAATAAATTCGTAAGGCAGGAACGCCCCTTTGTAAAACCATCTTGCAATGTATTACTTCCAGTGTACACAATAACATCTAATACAAGACCACTGTAGCAATCACAAAGTACAAATAACTTTATGCCACAACGTTTCTTCTTGCTTGGTATATACTGCTTGAACGACAGTCTGCAGTATATACCAAGACTCATTCAAAGACTTGTCAATAACAAGCTTCCTGAAGAGATAAAAATACATATTGAATTTCTATTTCAGATACATAAACACATTTCTGATCTAATATAACCTGTCTTTTCTGTCAGGCCTGGTTTTGTCTGAGAAGTGTCGCATACATAACAGTAGCGCAAATCGATTCACTGGTATAA